CCCCCCCCCCCTCTCTCTCTCTCACACACACACACACACACACACACACACACACACACACACACACACACACACGCACACACACAACTCTTCTTCTTCTTGTCTCCTCGTCCTCCCCCTCCCTCGACCTCCCCCTCTCTCTCCTCCTCCTCCACATCTCTCTCTCTCTCTCACACACACACACACACACGCACAGACGCGCACACAAACACACAAACACACACACACACACACACACACACAGTTCTTCTTCTTCCTCTCCTCCTCCTCCATCTCCTCCTCCCCCTCCGCTTTTTTTGTTTTTTTCCCTTTTTCTTTTTCTCCTTCGAAATTGACATTCCTTCTTCTCCTTGTTCTTGCAGGTGCATCGTCAGCGTTTGCCACGTAGTCAGCGGCCACGTCAGCAGGTGTTTCGTCCGCACCTGCCACGTCAGCAGCCACCACGTCAGCAGCCACCACGGCGGCAGCCACCACGTCAGCAGCAACTGCTTCAGCAGCAACCACTTCAGCAGCAGCTGCGTAAGCATCTGCCACGTCCGCAGCTGGCACCGCAGTTGCCACGTTATCAGCTGCCACGTCAACAGGTTTTTCATCCGCACCTGCCACGGCAGCAGCAGCCACGTCAGCAGCAACCGCTCGCTTCAGCAGCAGCCACGTCAGCAGCAGCCGCCGCATTAGCATCTGCCACGCCCACAGCTGGCTCGGCAGTTGCCACATCGTCTGCTCCCACGTCGCTGTCTTTCATGTCCGCAGTTGCAATCGTACCTACCGCCACATCGGTTGCCGTGTCTTCAACTCATCGGCACTGACTCCGCAGCATCACCGGTGTCATGGCAGGAGAGCAACGGGACCCATTCCGGGAGGACATGAGCTGCAACAGGGACCACGTCGTGTGGGCTTGGGTCACCGAGTCTCCTGGTCAGATGTTGTCGGGCAATGCTCGTGGGTCTAGAAAACTGTGGTGCAAACTCTGCAACAAGGAGTACTCTGGAATCGAAAGCGTGCGTAGGAGCACTTCATTTTGGGGGGGGCGTCCGCCAGGTGTACACATTCAAACCTGTCCATTTGGAGGAAGCTGCATGACATCGGTGTACAGTTGCCACCGGACCTGCATGAGAGGGTGCAACGCGTGTTGGAGTTGGAGAAGAGAGACGAGGAGGACTCGGACGCTCATGTCCTAGGTGGAGGAGAAGGGGGTGAAGGGAAGATTGTTGAGGATCCCAAGGAGGCACCTGGTGGGGACATTGGGGAGGTCGACATTGTCGAGGATGAGGGGACGAGGGATGTTGTAACAGGTGGCCTTGCTGCTGCAGGGAGGACTGGTTCCTCGTAGGTTGTGGTGAAGGGGGCGCACACACGTGGCCCGACAAGGCAGATGAGCATCGGAAGGTTTGCGAAGAACCCGAGGCAGGAGGACACGAATAACTCCTGCGGTGAGTTCTTCATGGAGAACGCAATCCCGTTTAATGCCGCCAGAAGCACAAGCTTCAAGAAGTTCATGCTTACGTGTATTGGGCCACAGCCTGTAGGGAGTCACCCTCTTGTGCCTACTAGGTACAACCCCCTCAGGTGTCGCCTGCTCGATCGTTTGAACAAGAGGTTGCTAGATGAGCAGAAGGCGATTCGTGATGACTGGCGGGTGACTGGCTGCACGTTCATAATTGATGGCACCACAAACATCTGTGGGCGATCACTTATGAACTACATCCTTGCAGGACGGTGGAAGCCTGTTTTCGTGAAGTGCGCGGAAGTGAGCGACAGTGACAAGGACTCTGCAGCTGTCATTGCCGGGTGGAAGCGGTTCTTCGGAGAGTGGGGGGTGGAGAAGATCACGACGATATGCACACTCTTTTGCCGGGAACACGACTGCTGCGAGGATGTTGAGGGAGGACCCCGAGTTCAGTCAGATCTATTGGATCTCTTGCACAGCTCACTGCATGGACCTCCTCATGCACAACATAGGCAAGAAGGAGTGGGCGAATGACATCATCACCAAGGCCATTAAAGTTATGAACTTTTTGCGGGTTCACAGGTGGCCTCGGTCGGAGTTGAGGACGCAACTGTTGAAGTACCCCGACTTGAAATGCACCTGCCTCCTTCGGCAGGCTCAGACCAGGTTCGGGACGAACTATGTGATGCTGCAGCGACTTGAGGTGTGCGAGACGACCATTGTGCGTATCGTCACCGGACATGGTTGGGAGACCATAATGTGGCGTGCGGATATCAACCCAAAAGCCCATTTCGTGGAGTAGACAGTTCTTGACAAAGCATTCTGGGGGAATCTGGGGTGATGTCAAGAAGCTAACTGATGTCATGAAGGGGCCGTACGATGTGTTGCGAGAGGTCGACAAAGACGTCCACTGCTTGTCACGAATCTATGATATGGCGTGTTGACTGGTCGACTTTGTTCACTCGAACCCCCTCTCTGCGGACCAGCGAGATGACCTTTTGAGGGACGTCGGCAACAAGACCGACATGCTGCTCAGCCCCATCCACGCTGTTGCCCGGCTGCGGGATCCTGCGTTGAGGGACATTACTGTTTTCAATAATGTCAAACTCATGGCACAGTTCGAGAGTGTTGTGGAGCGACTCATCAGGAAGAAGGGGAACTCGAGATTTGATGACTGCATGGACCAGTTGTACGAGTTCCAGTTTGGGAGAGGAGTCTTCGGCACCCCGCAGGCAAAGAAACGGGGTGAGAAGGACAATGTGGTGTTGTGGTGGGAGGCACATGGTGCAGGGCATCCAGAGATCCGGAAGTTGGCGCTCAAGTGCTCTCAATTTGGACAACTTCCTCTCTGTCTGAGAAGAACTGGAACACTTGGGCTCTCGTGCAGACGAAATCCAGGAACAAGTTGCACCACCAACGCACCGAGAAATTGGTGGCCTCGCACTGGAGCTTGAGGCTCAAGAGTAGGGGGTAGGATGAGCCCACTGTTGCAGGAGGGTGGTTGGGGCTCGCAACCGACTAGGAGGAGGAGGACTTGGGGGGTGACATGGCAAATGTCACGGAGGCAGTCGATGGCGTTGAGGTTGCTGGTGAGGGCACTTCTTCGGTGGGCGGCATCAACATTCGCCACGATCCCACAACGCCATCCACATCGAGATCGGCGCAGAGGTTAGTGCAAGTGAAGGAGGGTGGGGAATCTGGGGATGAGGATGAGGACGATGACGACAATGAGGACAACATCCCTGGCGAGGAGTGGGTGGACGAGAGATCGAACTCGGACAGATCGTGGACGAGGAGAGAGGACTCGGACAAATCGTGGACGAGGAGAGAGGACATCGTCCCCTATGTTGCAGGCACACGATCTGGACTGAGGTCCTTGACTCGGGCGCGGCCAGAGGAGCAACAGAGGGAGGATCCAGTGAGAGAGGAGAAGAATGTGGAGGATGGGCAGCAGAGGGAGGAGCAGCAGGTGGAGGCCGACCAGCGGGAGCTGCACCACGAGGATGAGCGGCCTGCAGAGGAGCAGCAGGAGCAGCGACACCGTCACACCAGCAGGAGGAGCAGCAGATGGAGGGGGGTGAGGACCAGCAGCAGCACAGGGACGAGAAGCAGCAGCAACAGGAGAGGGGTGAGGAGCAGCACCAGGAGAGGGATAAGGAGCAGCAACGTCATCAAGGGGATGAGGAGCAGCAGCAGCATGACAGTAATTAGGAGCAGCAACAACATGAGAGGGAGGAAGTAGCAACATGAGAGGGAGGATCCTGAAAACCAACAGCAGACAGCAGTGCAGTCGGACAGAGCTGCACACAAGGAGGGTGAGGCAGAGGGCGAGCAGGGTCGCAGCAAGGTGCGAGGATTTCACGGTTCCAGTCAGCAGTTGCCTCTCGTTGGGCGGCATGGAGCACAACCCGACCGCGTATGGGATCTGCTCGCCTATCGTCATCCGCGAGGATGAGGGAGGTCTGCTTTTGGACGTGGGAGAGGGCACACTCATGTGGCTGCTCGAGGCACTGATGGGGTTGCACGAGGCACAGAGCGACCGAGAGAGCGGCTACGAAAAGAGGAACTATAGGAAGTGACACCAGCAGGAGAGGAGTCAGATGATGACTCTCATGAGAGTGCACCACTGCAGAAGTCCAACAAGAGGAGGACGGAGTCTGCTGCAGAGAGAGAGACACACACACACACACACACACACACACACACACACACAGAGAGAGAGAGAGAGAGAGAGAGA